GGGGGGGAGAGGGTCTGGTCCCTGTGCCGCAGGGTGACGGTCCGCGTGCCCTCGCAGGAGCTGCGGGACCTGGAGGTGAGCGCCCCGAGCCCGGCGGTGCAGGTGGAGGTGGAGGTCTGCAAGCCGGAGCTGACGGCCGCGCTGCGGGAGATCCGCACCCAGTACGAGAGCATCGCCGTGAAGAACCTTCAAGAAGCCGAGGAATGGTACAAGTCGAAGGTACCCGGGGCTGGGGGGGACACTGGTGGGGGGGGCCGGGGCACCCCGGCAGCCCTGACACCCCCAGCCCTTGCAGTTTGCCGACCTTTCGGACGCGGCCAACCGCAACCACGAGGCCCTGCAGCTGGCCAAGCAGGAGATGAACGAGTCGCGGCGGCAGATCCAGAGCCTCACCTGTGAGGTGGACGGGCTGAAGGGCATGGTGAGAGCTGCGGGGGGTGGGTGTCCGGGGTGGGGGTGCGGGAACCGGACCCCTCGCCCCGGCCCCACATAACCCCTTCTCCTCCCCACCCCAGAACGAGGCACTGCAGCGGCAGATGCGGGAGATGGAGGATGAATTTGGGGAGGAGATCGGGAGTTACCAGGATGTGGTGGGGCGGCTGGAGCAAGAAATCCAGCAGATGAAGGAGGAGATGGCGCGGCACCTGCGTGAGTACCAGGACCTGCTCAACGTCAAGATGGCCCTGGATATCGAGATCGCCACGTACCGCAAGCTGCTGGAGGGCGAGGAGAGCCGGTGAGGCTGCTCTGCCCCGTGACGGGAGGCTGACGCACAGTTTCACGTCCCCATCGCTGCCGGGGTGCAGAATCTGGCTGGGGGTGGTGGTGTGTGTGTGTCCCCTGCATTGGGTCATGCTGGTTGTTATGGGATTTTCTTGCGAGGAGGCAGCTCTGGGCAAACAAAAAATTCCCACGGGAGGTTCTCGCTGCTGAGATAAAGGCAAGGTCAGGGGGGAGGCATGATGGTGGGGGGGTTGCCGCCGAATCCTCGCTGGCCCCATGCCCAGGAGCCCACAGGCACAGCCCGCAGCCAGCCTGGCACAGCCCGGCCTGGCACAGATCAACTGTGGTGTGGGTCACGGACTCAATGGTGTGGGTCAGGGTCACCAGTGATGCCTGGGAGGCCCAGGCCCCCCTCACTCCCTTCTTCCCCCCCCCAGGATCACCGTCCCCCTGTACCCTGCCACCTCCTTCAGCATGAGAAGCTCAGGTGAGGGGGGCGCTGAGGGTCCCCCGTCTTGTCTGGGGGGGTCTTTCCTCCCTCTTTTGGGGCACAGACCCCACGGAGGTGCAGGTGGGTCCCTGTGGCTCTGCCTTGGGGTGGCCCCGCACCCCGGGGGGGGGACAGGGGGGGCTGATGGCATCTTTGTGCCCCAGTGCTGGAGCCGCAGCCTGCGGAGAGCCCGGTGCGGAGGATGGTGCTCATCAAAACCATCGAGACGCGGGATGGGCAGGTGAGGATTGGGGGCTGCAGGGCCCTGCCTGGGTGGGTGGGGGTCTGACCCCACCATGGGGCTGACCCCCACTTTCTCCCCCCCCACAGCAGGTAGTGACGGAGTCACACAAGGAACGAGCGGAGCCGGGGAAGTGACGGAGGGGACCTGCCATGCCGGCACCCATCCTGCACCACCCGACTCCTGCATGGGTCAGGGAGCAGAGCATGGGGCCAGCTGCCCCCCCTGCCCCATCCCCACTGCCAGCACCCTGGGGTGACGCTGCGGCGCATCCCTGTGCCTTGTGTCCCCCATCCCCCTCATTTATTTTTTTTCCCTGCTGGAACCTCCTTTGTGTTTAACATTTAGCAAGTGTCTCCCGCGCTGCCCTGGACCCAGGGCTGGGGGGGGGTCCCGGCTCCCCTCCCACCGATGGCGGCAGCACCGGTTGCCACCGGGGTTGGGGGGCTCTGGTGGCCCCCAGGCCCTGTCCCCTCCCGGTATCTCTTCCCGGCTGCTGGCCCTGGGCCCTTGGGGTGGGCTGGGGGTGGGAAGGGGTGCAGGGCCT